TAACTGGATGCGCTGCCGGCCCGGTTGCGGCAAAAAAATCTCCTTTCCGGGAGGACTGGAAGCTAGGGCGGCCAGTACGGCTACTTGTATCGGTACGCCAGCCTCATCAAGAGGTATGATACCGCCGCGTCCACGAGGAGCATTGGCAGCCGCCTCGTCAAATGTGCGCGCGTCCTCCCCATGATCAGAGACTCCAGTGCCGGGGACAACGCGATGGATTGGTGCACTGCCTGGGTATACACCAACAACAGACGTGGCCACTGGAAGCTGGGACTGCTGTTGCTGTGAGGCAGTGGCCAAACGACCTGACCCAACTTCCAATTTATCGTGAGCCTGATTTCCACCCTCACGTTCATCATCATCGTCAGAGTCATCGGAGAGGTGGAGTTCATGGCTATTTTTTTTATCCTTAAGGCCCGAATCAGGAGGCGTGCCAAGGGCGGGATCTCCTGATTCCTGTCGGGTTGGAGAGCCCGGACTTGAGTCTTCTGGGCGAGAGGGGCTTGAATGCACATCTGGCGATCCGGCGGTCACTGTCACTGTGTTTGGCATGTTGCGTGGAGTGTGCGTAAAATTGATGGCAAAGCGGGCGACATCGCGGCGCAGACCCATGTGTGAGACGAGTAAATGCTTCTTGAGATCCGAGAAGCCGTGGTTGAAAGCTTTATGGCATTCAGGGCAACCGGCTACACGACGTTGGTTGGCTCGACCAAGGATGGGCACCTTGTACGTGGCAAATCGACGCAACTGCACCAGGATACCCGGCAACTCAGCATTGCGCAGAGCACGGCCAGTAGCGGTGCGACTGGTGCGCTTGTAGGCAGCAGTGAAGGCCATCTCGTTGAAATATAAGTGAACATACTCCTTCACTTTAATACCAGGTGGCAGACTGTGCATTGCCGGCCGTAAAAGACCATCAGCTTCTAGACCATCGGCCCTCGATGACCCACCCGAGCCATTTGGAGAGACTGCAGAACGTTCCTCAGCCCTAGCGGCATCCAAAGCTGCGCTTACTGCGGCTGTACCTGCAGCAGCTGTGGCAAGTAGCTGACGTGTCTCAGCCGCTAAACTCGATTCTTCGTAGGTTGCACCAGAGGCCAGCGCATCCACACGGCGTTTTCCGACTGTAGATGGCGGGCTTCTCTTGTTGACAGGGCCGGAGAACAACGATAGCGGAAACCCTGATGACGAGGAGGTGGATGGCAGAATTGGGTATACAATAGCGGAAAAAGAAATCACAGTCTGTCAACAGAGACAGTACTGTTCCCAACATCATCTACGACCCAACTAGAAAGGCTGAATTAAAGGGAGAAATCCTGGCCAAATTGTATGGGCCACGTACTGCCTAAAGCACATTGATTGTGCCAATAATGACAGCAAATTTATGACTGTCAATAAAGCTCGCTACTTTTTAAATACTTAGATGATGCTTTCGAAAATGCACACCGGCAAGCCAAAATGAGAAAACTTGAGAAATAGGGAGATCCATCCGAAGCAATGTATGTAGAAGCTTGCAAACTTAATCGTTGATTTAAAACATATCAAAACTTGGGGATGACTTTGAAACAATTTCAGACAAGCATAGGTAAGGTTTATGACACAAGATAAAATAATATAAACTAATAGCATTTAATAGCGTTAAATGAGAGTATTAAAAATAACAATTTTATAATAAAGATCAGACAGGCTAATAGGGTTTATATTCTAACTAATTCAAACACGATAAGATAAAATCATAAATACTGCTTCAATTACTCTTCTGGTCTATTTTAAACAAATTTGGATAAGTATATATTCATATGGAATAATTTATCGGATGAGCATACTCTATCGAATGAGACCTTAATTTGGTGTTCTAGAGTATTCAATCATAGCAAGTTAACTAACACAAAAGTAGTAAAAATTATTAACTTACCCGAATCTCTAACTTCTGGCGTCGATGCTAGTGAATTGAGGACAGAAGAAGGGAAGACAGTAGAAAAATTTATAGGACCATTTTGGGTGACATTAAAAGATTGCGACTGATGCGAATCTACCGGTCCAGAGCATTGGTGATGAATTGTAGAATGAGATGAAGGTAAATTTTCTTCAGAAATAGGGACGACAAACTCTTCCGAATGTATTCCTGATGTCTAAAATGCATGGATATAGTTGAGTAAATAAAATAATATAGCATTACAATAAATAATTAAAATAAGGTTATGGTACAAATAAAAAAAGCAAATATAAGATTTAGGGCTTTGCTGACCTCTCCAAGCTGAGGGTGGAAATCGGAAAGGTGT